GGGGGGTGGAAGGAGGATATTCTTCTAAAAGAGAATTGAGGAAATAAATTAGTTACGTAAATCAATGGCTAAAGTGAAAAAAAATATGTGTATTTCCACAGCTCGTTCCAATTCATCCAATAATGTGTTATTTATTTCAATTGAAAATTAAACACGAACATTTCATTGAAATTTCCTGTGAAGATATTTGAATGAGCGAAAAAACTTCAGTAGAAAATTTCGAGACAAATGGTTAGTTTTCTCTGATAAAATAAGACACAAGCGAAGGTTTGTACAGTCACTCTGAAAATACACACTTTTTAACCTAACCCGTGTAATATTAATTACTATGATAGCCGTAGAATACTCCGAATTAAAAGTCTTATAGGTATTTAATAATTTGTATAAAATGTTGAAGAAACGAAATAAACGAATAAAAAATATACAGAAGCGAGCTGCCCAGTGACAAGACACTCGTGCATACCTAACACTCGTTGGACAATGCGGAGACGAGAGACGAGCCGCGACGCTCACGGCGCCTCATACGACTATTCGTGTTCCGCGGTTGTCCGTATTGCATATGCAAATTAATGCAGGCGCACTGGTTGTTCTTATTTCTGTAGTGGCGACGCGACGCGCGTGTCCCCGCTGTTCTGTTGCAAATTATTGACCCTCTTGTCAGACAAATGAACTTCCGGGCAGTGCCCGCGGTATTCGTTGCAGCTTGCGTACGTGCGTGTGGAATCGAGCATAGTAATGCCGGGAAATGTCCACCCCTCCCTTATTTGAGAGCGTAAGGTCTGGATTTGAACCTTCGTCTTGTCAGTTTGTCGCCCTCCTGAAGTAAGGACGTATTACATTCCGCAATGAAGGTATACGAAATTCCTTACTACACCCCCACCATCCCTTCCGGTTTTTTGTTGATTTCCATTCCGTCTTTAAGCTATTTTTCTCTGTGCTCTCAAATACTTCCCTCTTTAATTTCTACTTTTAATTACTTACTAAGCGATTCCAGTGATTTTGTCGGTGATCTGTGACGTGCGCTTTACAAAATTGTTCTCTTTTTTATGATATAGAATTATTATTATTGACTTCCTCAATAATTCTGAGCTCATATTACTTGTTTTAAAATATTTCCTCTCTTTCAAAAAGAATTACCAAAAATGAATAAACCGCTTCGCCCCAGAATCATTACTCAAGTCGCCGATGAATTGTATTTTTATTTTTGAGTTTTGAAATTTCAATTAAATTTCAAATCTTTCCAATCTTTATTTCCTTTTAAACCACCTTGTGCGCTGATTTTTGGACTTGATAGACAAAACGATGGACAAAGATGACACAAGGGATATGCAAGGATCATATAGGTGGAAGCGGGTGGTTGCAATGGACAAAGGACGTAGGTAATACTACCTAACAGCAAACCACGAGAGACCCTGTTTAGTTAGTCCATCATTCTCTCCTTGTGTCTTCAGGAAACACCCATTTCAAGCAATAAGATCGCTCCATACTCCCTACTTCTTTTTTTTTCTATAGCTTTGTCCAACAGTTTCAATAATGGGCCCGGAGGATGGAATGAATGAAGGAGAGGGACTTACGGCAGAGTGGACGGACTGGTAGGTGACGCGATAGCCGTAGACCTTGGTGTGGGGGCTGCTGGTCCAGGTGATGAGGACGGATTTGGGACGGACGTCGTTGACGGTGAGCTTTCTGACGGCGGGCGCCTGACAGAGCCGCGGTGGGCTCACCTCCATCAGAGCTTGCCCCTTCAGCTCGGGCGGCTCCGAGCAGCGCAGGTTCTTCGCCTCCGAGATCTTCTTATGCTCCCGCAACCACTCCCACAGTCGCTGTGTTTCGCATCCGCAGTGCAACGGGTTCTCTGCCGGGAGAAAAAGCAAACAAATATTTTACTCCATTTATTCTTACAAGTTCTGAAAGCAGTTCTTAGGAGCCACACGGAGGATCTAGTCAATCAGAGAGATCGGACATGACATTTTTACCAAAAACTGCAGATTTTGAAGTCAAATTCGTCACAATTTAAATTGTAAGGGGTGTTTCTAAAAGAAAATTTTACGAGAATGCAAATGGAGCCACGTTGATAACATCAACATTTTGTAAGAGGAGTTATAAGCTTTTAAAGTGTCCAAATTTTGTTTCACCTCTCCCATTGGCTCGATCAACTATGGGCCGCCAATAAATTACTTCACTCAGGTGGACGGAGGTGAGGAATGAGGATTCTAGCGGTAGATGACGGTGGCTGACCGGAGGGGAGGGGGGAGTCAAGCCAAGGATGACGTATGTCTTCCTGAAGGCATAAACGCTGGAAATACTTGTTTGAAATTTGACTGTATCTACTGATTTTTATCGATTTTCTGCGTTTTCCACCAAAAAGAGGGGAAGAACACAATATACATTTAATACTAAATAAAAGAAATCAATCATGTTCTTAATGCTGCAGACTGTGCGCGCTGAGGATGACGTAACATTTAGTGGGGGCGGAAGGGTTCAGCAGTGGATGACGGTTTGAAACGGTGAGGGAGGGGNTCTAAAAACTGAAAAAATGGGTGACGTAATTTATGGACGGCCCCCAATACTCCTACAGGAAAGGTAACAATAAGGACCACTTTTGAGCCCAACCTAGCTAAATCTTCAACTCTACGTTTTTTGCTCATTGAAGGTCTACATTTTACGGTATTCATCATGAATTGGTCATTGCTGGTATTTTTATCGATCTGATACTGGCATGAACAAATGTCTAAGGGCCGATTCGGGCGAAAAATGCGAAATTTTAGGAATTCAACCACATACCTGCAAAAATGGAATTTCTTTTGCCAAAATGGGCCTTTAGTCACATGTTCAGGCCAGTGTAGACCCAAAAAAAGATCCAGAATGACCTAATCATGAGGTTATAGAACATTTCGTCAACGATTTTTTGTCCGCGCACCTGTTTTTTCCAGTAGTTTACGTCCACGCGTTTTTTCGGAAGGGGAGTGTTGGACCACTTACCACTTGAGACCCAAAGTTAATTGGTCCACATGGAAATACAAACGACAATTGCTTACGACGTTTTTGGGTGAAAATGTTTATTGTCTTGGAAGAATGAGGGTTTGCTTGTTTTGTGTTTTTTTTTCTTGTTTGTTTGCTCCGACGGAGAAAAATATATAATTGAGATTTATGGTAAAAATGAGGGAGCGTCATTTCCATGAGAGAAAATTCACTAAAACTCTAGACACCTCTTTGGTGCAACAGGACTTACGTATCTTTCAAGAAAAACCCATATTTTTATACCTCAACTGGAAAACCTTTTGATTTGCCTCAGCTAAAGGATCTCATATTTTTCCTGTGCATGATAACTTCGCCTTTGCACTGGTTTGCCGCAGCGCTTCGAGCTACTATTTCGCCACGGAGGTGTTGCACAGTATCATATGAGATCGAAGGCACCCCAACGTTCATGATTGATGGCATCTTTCAAAAGCACGAAGTTCCCTCGCAAATTAAATCGAGCGACGACAACAAAAAGAGAGCGGTAGTCGAAAAACTTACTGTCCTAGTATCTGTATTTAATAACGTTTAGTATGATTTTTTAACTTCATTAGAGGAACAAGTGACCTAATTTAAGGAGAAATATCCTCAAATTTGCCGCCGAGAAGATTTCCTTGTGAGTTAATAAGGAAACAATGTTTTCTTGAAGAAAAAGATGCTTTTATAAAAAGGAAAGTCACTTACATCAAGCAGAAACCCGCTTTTGTTCACCTATTTTATTCTCTATTCAAAATAAAATCTTCTTGACGGCATACTCAAGAATGTTCCTTTATCTCTCTTATCTCGACTTATCTTGCAAGGGAAGTTCCGTACTCTTAAAGGATGCCTGTCATTCTTATTGTTGGTATGTTGGAGTGCCTTCAATTTCGTATAATACTGTACAACACTTCTATTGTGAAATAGTGAAGCGCCGTGACACGCTGCGGCGCGGCCAGCCAGCTAGCACGGAACGCGCATTGGCGCCTACAAACCTAAGGGATACCTCAATCATTGCGCAATGCGTGAAGTATCTGCTTAGGTTTGTAGGCGCCAGTGCGCGTTTCGTGCTGGCAGCACGCCGCGCCGCATCACTAACTCGCGGAGTCAACTCATGATTTTTATATGTATGCACACTCTGCATGGATTACTTTAATTTAAATTGATAAAAAAAATATATATGTGAAAGGAAAATGTAATGCGTGTTTTGTAAATATTAAGGTGTTTCTTTGTCGTATTTAATGATTTCCAAAGCACATTAATTTTTTCTTTTATATTTTGTGCTTATACTGTGCTGCAGCGCGGTGTGAGCGCAACCAAACGCTCAAAATAGGACGTATTTGACTTTGGAAGATCGATGTACGAATGGGCTAAAACCGAAGATTGCGTGCTTCTCGGGTTTTCCCCTCTTTTATTCATTTGTGGATAGTTTCTTTCGACACAACTACTGCTCATTGATCTTAATATCGATGCCATCGCTTGGAGAAGGTTTTACAAATATTTGCCACGTTTTAAAAATGTAAATGTTTTTAAAATAAAGTAATATTTTCATTTAAAAAAAAGTATTTATAAGGTTTATTTTTCATCGAAAATTTTACGGATGGAAATAAAACCAAATATTCACTCCTGACAATTTAAAAAGATTGATCGAAAGAAGGAAATAACATTTCATTTAAAAAAAATGAGTTACCATAACAACTCTTCCGTCCCTCTCAATTTTCTCATTTCATCATTGTCAATATAATTTCACATACGGACTAAAATATGACACTTGGACCAAGTCACTGTTGCTTATTTCACCCGTGGACGTAAACTACAAAATTAGTGAAAATATATTCATTTTCAGTTAGTCAGTGTTTTACACACCTAGCAATTTCTGATAACGATGTATAAACTTAAACACTGATATATGAAACAATGCCATGCAAAAGAGCAAGAAATTTATAAACTGTAGGAGTCTCTCAAATGAAAACATTCAAGAGCGTATTTTCCTATAAATGTTTTAAGACTTGCATTAAATTAAGCTCAAAGCGTAAGAAGTAGATACAGATAGACTGCGAACTCAAAAGGAGAAACTTCTCCAAGTAGAAAAAAAAAAATCAAAGAACTGTGCAACTCGATAGAGGGATAGAACCATCAACATGATCATTATTTTGCATTCAGTTACAAAATTCAAATTTCTTACCTTCAATTTTAAGGCTCCTAATTTGAGATTCCAGCGGCTCAATGGCATTCAAAGGCAGGTTCTGGAGGTTGTTCCTACTTATATCGAGGAGCTTCAACTTTTTCGGCGGAGAAAAGGCGTCGGGCGAGATGGCAGAGATCCAGTTGCCGTACAAGTACAGCTCATTCAGATTATCCAAATTATTGAACGCGCCCTCGCTGATCTTTTCAATCTTGTTATAAGATAAATCAAGCGTCTCCAAACTTTTCAGATTCTTCGGGAACTCGTCCAGGCGACTTATGAGGTTTTGAGTGGCGTTGAGAAGCTTCAAGTCGGCCAACCCGTAAAACCTCTCTTTCGGAATGAAATCAATCCTGTTGTAGCCCAAATCCAGGGACAGGAGACGGGCCAAATTTTTGAAGGCTCCCGGGGAGATCCGCTGAATCTTATTTCTAGAAAGGCTTAAATGGAGAAGGTTGAGGTAGGAACAGAAATCACTACTCGTGATTATGGATAAGTTGGTTCTTTGAAGAGTGAGTTCTTCGATCATGAGACTGTATTCTTTGCTCGCGTCGCCGTCGCAACTTTCTTTGAAGTTCCGTGCCTTGCCCGCAGGCGTCGTGTCGCCGATCTGTTGGATCGGATTCCCCGTTAAATTGAGCAATTTCAAATTTATCGCAGTGTCTAATTGCAAGTTCGACAAATTAGCGAATCTGTTGAAACTCAAGTTGAGAATTCTGACAGTGCCGTTAAGACTATTGAAAAAATTAAACGGTAAAGAATTCAAAGTATTCGAGCCTAAATGAATTTCAAATAAAAATGATAAATTTGAGCGATTCGATGTAACGTGAACTTCGTGGATGAGATTTTGTTGCAAACTAATTTTATGAAGCGTCGAGAGAAATTGAATTTGACTAAAACTAAAGTATTTCAAACTATTATTGCTGATCTCTAAAGTCTCCAGATTTTTAAGTCCCTCAAATGCTTTTTCGGGGATACCTTTGAATAAATTGTCATTCAAGTAAAGCTCTTTGAGACTTGGGACATCTCTGAACACTCGATCGGGCAAATCCCGAAGCTGGTTTTTATCCAGGTGTAACTTTAAAAGATTGGAAGAACGGAGTGCTTTTTCTGATATGCTGCTTATTTTACAATCTTTTAGGTACAGAGTTTGTAGATGCCTAAAATTCGAGAATGCACTTTCAGGTATGTCAGGAAATGAGTTGTGAGACAATTTTAATTCTTTTAAATTTGGTAATTTAAAAGTTTTCAATGTGTCTGCAGGAAATACATTAATTTCTAAGTTAAGCTCTTCTAGTTTCTCTAAGTCAACGACTGAATCGTTTTCAAATGAGTTTATTGAACAGTTTCTTAAGTTTAAATGGACTAAATTCATAAAAACAAAAGTATTACTTTGAATGACATGTAGTGGATTATTCGACAAATCTAAGATTTTGAGTCTGGTGAGATCTTCAAAACAATGTGGTTCAATAATAGAAATTCTATTTTTTGATAGATAAAGTTCCTCTAGGTTAAATAGATTTTTAAACACTGCTTTTTTGAGCTGCGTCAGTTGATTCTCACTTGCGTTTAGCAATACAAGCATTTTCAGGTGTCTAAAAGCCCCTGAATGTATTTCCCGTACTTGGTCATCTATCAAGAATAGTTGCTCTAGTCGCTCCAAAGACCTGAAAATGTTCTCACTAATTTCGTTCAAATTGTTATCCGTTAAATAAAGTGACTTCAAATGAACTAATGAATTGAAAGAATTATTTTTCAAACTGGAAATGGAATTTGAGTTCAGTTGGAGGGTCATAAGGGTAAACTCGCCGCTTGCAGGTGACGAGAATACATTTTCAAACTTTTTAAGATTGTTATTCTGCAGATTGATATGCTGGAGTTTTTCTAAGGTGCCAAAAGATCCACGCTCTATACCATCAATTGAATTATTATGCAAATAAAGTTCAACTAAATTTGGCAAATTTTCGAAGTGACCTTTTTTGATTTGTTTAAGTTTGTTGTTATTCAATCTTAGCTCTCTGAGGTCGTCACAATTTTGAAATGCATGCAAATCTATATGATTAATTAAATTGTCATTGAGGCTAAGCGTATCTAAATTAATGCTGTTGGTGAATAAATTTCTCTTAATACTTTTGATATGATTGTTTTGCAAGTAAATTTGAGTGAGATTCTGAAGATTCTTTAGAGAATCTTCATGGATTTCTTGTATTGAGTTCATTTCTAAATTTAAAACACTAAGACTGGAGCAAGACGTAAAGGTCTCATCTTCGATCTCTAAAATATTATTATCTGATAAGTACAATTCTTGCAAATTAGTTAAGTTCGAAAATATCCTATCTAAATTATACAAATGATTTGAGCTGAGATCTATGACTTTAATTTTTTTATTGTACTTAAATAAATCACTATCTAAATAAATTATGTTGTTGTGACTCAAGTCTAAAGACGTAAGCTCGGTGAGAGATTTAAATGCTTCTCCGTGAATTGATTCTAATAGATTTTGGTAAATGGAAAGAACTTGAAGTTTGATGAAGTACCTAAACTCATCTTTACCCAAGAACTTTATATTGTTAGAGCTCAAATCAAGTTGTTTTAGACTTATCAACTTGAAAGTTTCTAGATCTAATGTTTTATCAATTATATTAGCTATTTCGTTGAAAGAGAGTTTGAGGATACTTAAAGTCTCGAGACGCCTTAAGGGTAAAATCGGAAAGGCGTTCAATTTGTTTTCGGATAAATCTAAATGGAGCAAACAATTCTCTAGGCCATAAAACGCATTTTCACTCAGTTTGCTCACCAAGTTATCTTTCAAGATAATAGTCTGGAGGAAGCGCAAATTGGTGAACGCATGGTCCGATATTTCAGTCACTGAGTTTGATTCAAAGTTAATTTGATTTAGGTTGAGCAATCGGTTGATTTCTTTTGGAACGGCAGACAGTCTACTTGTTACTATGTTGATTTCTTTCAAGTGCTTCTGAAACAGATCCACGAAGCTATCATCCACATCTCTGATATGAGATAGAGTTATGTACAACTTCTTCAAAACCACAGTTTTGGATGTTAGGTTCGGTTGAACGAACAACTCCTTGGACAAAACATCGACTGATTTGTCTAAATCATAGATGGTGAAAGAGTAGATAGTTCTGTTGATTTTGCTGATGACATTTTGGACGGTGAGGATGTCGACATAAGGGCACTCGATGTGAAGGCCCTCCTCGAAGGGATAGCATGGACACACGGAGTTGAGCTGGAAACTTGGGCATCCTTCATCTGTGTCCTGCGATGATTCCAGCTCCATTTCTTGACAGAGCGTTGCTTGGTTGATACACAACATTAAGGCTAGTGCATTGTGCCACCGGTACAACGCTCTGAGTACGTTCAAGTGCATCATGTTCTATCCATTGCTCTGCTGAATATCCGTTGGTCTCTCATCTGAAACATACACCACGAGAGGAGATAAGAGAAATCCATTAATTGATTAATGCAAGTACTGGTATTGGTATTTGTACCAATACCAGTACCTTTTTAATGGTTGTAGGAATCTGAACATTTTGGGGGGTTAGGCATTCAACTATCTGGGAACAAGATAACACATTGAGAAGCTAATTAAATATATATAGTATAATTCAGTTACAGGATGTCAAGCAAGCAAGCGAGCAATTGAAAAATAACAGAGATGGAAACTCACGCGGCACAGAAGTTTCGGAATTCGGGACCTGGAAAATACATTAAAGTGGCGCCAGCTCTCCCACTTGCATTACGACACTATCCGCTCTATGGTTTAGCAGAAATACGTCCAATTAGACCGCGTTAAACAGAAAGGAACCAATCTACATCAGCTATTGCCAAATTTAACTAGGCAATTTAACTTTTTGCATGAAAACGGTTGAGCGGATTTTCGTGCAAATTTCAGTGGATTTTCTCCATATTGCGAAGCAAACTGCTTAAAATTTTCAAAGGAATCCACACAAACGTTCTCTCGTAAAAAAATTAAATTGCCTAGTTAAATTTGGCAATAACTGATGTGGGTTGGTTCCTTCCTGCTTAACGCGGTCCAATTGTACTTCCTCATTGGAAAAGTAGTCCGATTTTACTCGGCGGACGGCTTACGCGCCGTAAACACGGGAAGATGAGTTATCGAACTTGTGGATAAGCCGCGAGACGCTCGACTCAACTGGAAGCGGCGTGGCGTGAAAGTGATGTATGTTGAATGACAGCCCTTCGCGATCCGAACAAATAACAACAGCCGAGGATGTCACCCTTCCCTAAGACCCACCGCCGTCGCGACGCTCCACGCCCGACGCCGACATAAATGCTCTTGAATGGCAAGCTTCGAGTGTTCACGGCGGAGCGCGAGGAAAGAGAGGGCAACCGCAAGTGAGACGACAAAGGGTAGGTCATGGAACGCGCGTCGCGTCGCGTCGAGTCGCGCACCCCCATCAACTTCCCCCGTCCCGAGTCGCTTCCTCCAATTCCGTCCCCAAGACACGAAAGTTGAAACTTTCTTTTCCACAGCTCTTAATTGTTAGCTGCGCCTCTGCAGAGGAGAACAATGAGGTAGCAATAATAAATAGTTTTAAAACGCCATCTGTCGGCCGAACCTGATATTTATTTCGACTTCCTCCGCCGCTAACTTTTACCACGCAGTCATAGACATGGAAATGAGTCCGCGCCGAGTTGCAAGACTTTAAAAAACTCCGCCCACACGTTGTGCGAGAAAAAGTGCGGTCGAGGAGGTCTGACAATGCCGACACCGCGGGTAGCATTAGCAGTTGTTTGCAACTGATTCAAAGTTCTGGCCAGGAGCAGATTAGGGGCGGGGGTAGTGCTTAACCACTGTGTGGAGCAATTAATAAGTTTCGAGCGGCCGACAAACTAAACACAGCGCGGCGAATCTCGAGCGAGTGATGGACCAGCACGCAGAGCGCGGGGCAAAGGATAAGAACGAGAAAAAGGAGGATAACAGTCGTACTAGACTTTGTCAACAATTAGCATGACGCGCATTAAAGTTTCTTTGTTGCGAACTTTTCGGGTTTCGCGTGCGAGGTAAGTGCTTACAGGAAGATGAAACTGAGGGAAGACGAGCGAAAAAAAGAGGGGGGCGACCGCTACAGGGTGATTCGAAAATTATTTCGCGAGCGTTTTTACGAGGGAAGTTGAGGGAGAGGTGCAACCGTAGACGCTTCCTCCAGATATTAAGAGGGAGAGAGATAAATCAGGATGCGGCTCGCGGTGCGGTCTTGACCCTGCCCCTTTTGTGGCGATCTTTGAATCGCGTAATTCTTTCTCTATTTTTCCTCTTTATCTCTCTCAACATTGAGACGCTATTGAGTGCTTTCGCGGACTTTGATTCATTCCTCTAAAATTGCTTACTCAACCTTGTAGAGAGTCCACGGACAGCCTGTCTCTTCGCCCTAAAAGGACCATCTTCAAATTAGATAGGGTTGAAAAAGTTTCTTTTTTTTCTGCTTGCTATGAAAAATCCTTTTAACTTTCCGTAATAATGGACTAAGAGTCTTAGGATTTTGGGACCCTAGTCAAGCTTTTTTCTCGGAAAAAAAGCAACTGCTCATAAAGTTCATTTGAAATTACTTCAGGATTTTAGGAAATCTAGTATTTGGTGAGGCAATTCCAAAACGCCATAAACGACCACAAATACGACCCCCCAGCGGGCCGATTATCGAAATGTATATTCAGAGCTATAGACAAAGGAGACAAAAGGGATATGAAGGCGAAGGGATCCTATTGGTGGAAGCGGGTGGTTGCAATGGACAATGGAGGTAAGTAATAGACTAACTAACGGCAACCGACAAGAGACCTGACAGTTAGTCCATGTCATTTTCCCTCTTAGTCTGTAAGAACCACCTGTTGCAACCAATAGGATCGCTCCATACTCCCTATATCATCTTTGACTATAGCTTTGTCTATCAATTTCCATAACCAGCTCCCAGACTTCTTCCCGTCACTTGGTATCTGATGTCATTTATGGATAGTCCCTTAGATGCACCCCTCCAACGTACTCCCATATCATAAAATCAATTGATTCAGTTTCATCCCCCTTTTTCCTTCCGAGTGCGTTTATGGATCGAAACACTCCGATACGGAACGAGTGATTTTCAAGGGCTTTAAAAATACACTAATGAGGCAGAAGACAACGAAATGTTCGCATCGAGTTCTCAACACGTATGTAGACAACCAGAGAACACGATGGGAGGGGGGGGGAGGATGAGCCCTCCCTCCCTTGAAGAGGTGGGCGGACAAAACAAAGAGGAACCGAAACAAAAGTTTAAAGTTGTGATTCTTCAGAAGTTGTGGAAAAGTTTTCGAGGAAGCATTATTAATGGAAGGTTTATTTCAAGCTTCCGCCCCTCCGCGCTTGCGAGGGCGGGGGAGGTTCGAATTTATTCGTTGCCGGAAAAGAGTAACGTCTAGTTACTCAGCGTTTGTTTTAGTCGCTTCACCTCAGGTTCGTCGCGGCCCCGGCTCCCGGCTTGCTCGCTGCTCGGCCACTCGCTGCGGAACGAGAGAGATGATTGCGGTCAGGAAGTTATGTTTCACATCCGCACTTTCGCCACTCCCGACATTTCCAAGTTTCTTCGTGGTGACAGACTTAACCCCAAGTTCCCCATTGCAACTTTTACACATTGAAGTGAAGCAGAGGTTTCGTCCACCCCCCCCCCCTTGAGAAATTCTCACGAAGGGTTAGGTTGAATTACGTGTATTGCATACAAACATGTGTTCAAAGGCCATCCTTTGGTTCCTGAATAATAATAATAATGAAAAAAAAAGAAAATGAAAAAAAAAAAATGAAAATTAGGAAAGAGAGAGAACGAATACATTTTAAATTTTCTCGTACTCCAACCAACAGTAGTGTTGTGAATAGGTAAAACATGGATACCTTACTGATAAAAAATGTATATGATACATGAACATAGGATTTGGATCCTTCTTAGTTCCAAGCGATTTGATTCATTCACTTAAAGGTTCTTTTTTTAAGCACATATAAATAATACGGCAACAAATACATCCAAAGAGCCTGTCCAAGTATTACGCAAGCAATTTTTGAGGGTCTACGCTTGCCTTGCCGGGATTTATAAAAGAGAGATAAGAGGGGACGAGTCCAGTCTACTGTAAGTATCTCACTTTAAAAAAAGAAAAATAATTGTCAAAATATTGTTTTTTCAGCTATTTTTCAGGCTTCCTCCGCTAGTTTCAGAAAAACTGGGGGGGGGTGCAGGCTAGTATTGTGGAATCTAAGAGAGAGTTGGAAGATGGATATAACGGGCGCCTTGCAAAGTAAAGGGGGAAGGGCCGGTTTCAGGACATTTTGTCAACGATTTTTTGTCCGCGCACCTTTCTTGTCCAGTAGTTTACGCCCTCACGTAAAATAAGCGACAGTGACTTGGCCCGTTGGGTCCAAGCGTTCAATTTTAGTCCGTATGTAAAATTATATTGGCAATATGGAAATGAGAAATTGAGAGAGAAGGAGGTGTTGTTATGGTTGCTCATTTTCTAAATGAAATGTCACTCCTTTCTCCTTTTGAATCATTTTTCTAAATTGCCATTGGTGAATATTTGGTTTTATTTCTATCCTTAAAATATTGAATATACAATATACCTTAACAAATACTTTTAAGCGTGCCAGTAGGGCTCGCTTTTTGAAATCACTCGGATGTACCATAGTACAGCACACCGATCAACCAATGCTATTCAACGGGCCGTCCAAATATTTTTTTCCTCGGACCCGTTTTCTTGTCTTTGAACCATTATACTGTCAAGCCCTGATGGTCTCTTACCGAAAAACCGAATGAACTGCTAATTGGGAACCCTTGAGAACATTTTCCTGTCAAAACCGTATTATTTCATTTGACAAAAACCTCATAGAAGCTTTCTTACGCTCGGAGGACTCAACTCTAGAACCTTCTTTCCCGCCAAAACTGTTTAGCCAATGAGCGTCTTGCACTGCAAGTGCAATCTGTGATGAGCCTCGTGACTCTTTATACCATGTACTCACCATGGCCCCTGCAGAAATCCACACAAACCACTGCAGTTATTTCCCGATATAGCTTTGGGTGCCAGGTTTCGAGCAAGGCAATAAAAGACGGCGAGGAGAGGGTCGCCTCGTCGAACCTATTTCTTCCACGCCCGATTAACCATTCACCGTGACGCCAGGATCCACCAAATTTTCACAAAAATTGTTTTCCGTCTATTTAGCGAGTTTTTCCTTACTTTCCGTTAAAGTACAAATAAAAAGAGACCTCATTTGTAAAAATCGGCCGAATAGGAGAGAAGTTACAGTTCGAAATCCAAAGAGATTAACTCAACGCGATTTCGATGCACGGCAGTTCGCCCAAATCACGGTCGTGCGAAATGCCGCATATCGGCTTAAAATCAAGATAATTGGACGGAATCTTTAAAATCAATTTACATTC